GAAAAAAAGGGGGAAAGAATTAAAATGGGCATACGGTCTTTTTCTTTTATTTCATTCTATTCCATTCCATTCCATTCCATTCTATTCTCCCACTCTTCTCTTCTTTTCCTCATCGATCGATTTATTCTTCTTCTTCTTCTTCTTCTTATTCTTCAAGAGAAAGAGAGAGAAGAGAAATCCTTCCTTTTTTCTTCTTTTTTTCGAATGACTTTGGCACTGGAGCCAAATGTTAAAAAAAGCGGCAGGTGTTATCTATTCGTTAAGTATTCCAGAAAATATTTTCAAGAAAATATTCCTTTCAAGATATTGCTTGATAACTTTATGTTAATTTATCGATCTATCTATCTCTCTCTCTCTCTCTCTCTATCTCTTTATTTCTCTTGTATCTTCGCAAAGGGAATGTATAATAAATTATTTTATTTTCCATTATATATAGAAAATTTTGTACGTATCGCGTAAGTGGAAAATATATATTTTTCTTGAATAAAAAATTATTATTTTGTTTGTAAAAAAAAAAAAGAGGGTTTATCAAATATTAATAAGCTTTCAAGTGAACGCATTCAATATCGTTCGCGATATCAATGGTATAGTATTAGGAATTAAAAATATAAAATAAAATAAAAATAAGAAGAAAAAAGTGAAATAGGTTAAACGTATTTTGAAATATCACATTCCCTTTCTCTCTTTCTCTTGTTCTATTGTATATCTCTGCTCAGTAATAAGCTGGGAATACAAGTATTGTACTAGAAGTTTTCTTGCCAAACGAATTAATCACGGAAATGAAATTCTCAGTGCAAATTGAGAAGAGTGTGAGAAAAAATAACAAACGCACGCACAGCACACTGACTGGGAAGACATTAAGAGGATTAGTACTCTAATGGTTAGACCGTTGTTAAACTAAAATAAATACGGCATACGCGAGAACGAACGTGTAATTATGCGAGTAAGTACTAATTACCGTGTGGAAACAAAAAACAAAAAAAAACAACAACAAAAAAGAGGAAAAGAGAAAGAGAAAGAGAGAAAGAAAAAAAATCCTTGCATACGACCACTAAAATGTTCTGCTTTTACACAGAACGTTTGAAAAAAATGAAAATAAAAAAAATGCAAATAAAAAAAAAAAAAAAAAAAAAAAAGGGGAAAAAAATAAAAGAAATAAACGATAAAATGGGGGTAAAACCAATATCGATAGAGGATAGGACAAAAATTTGAAAAGTACTTGCTTTCGAAAGAAAAAATANCAAAAAAAAAAAAAAAAAAAAAAGAAAAAGGTGGAAAATAATAAAAGAAATAAACGATAAAATGGGGGTAAAACCAATATCGATAGAGGATAGGACAAAAATTTGAAAAGTACTTGCTTTCGAAAGAAAAAATAAAAATAAAAACAATACGATAAAATAATAGAAACAAAAATATCGATAAACGATACGATAAAAATATAATCAAAATTAGGAGAAAAGCTTGCGAATGAAAAAAAGAAAAAAAGAAATAAAGAAAAAAAAGAAAGAAAGAAAGAAAGAATGAGCAAAAAAAAGAAGGGAAAGGGAGAGAGGTAAAAAGGGGGAGGGTAGGGGAAAAGGTAGGGAGAACGTTAAGAGTAAGAGAAAAGAGGGCGAATCGTTAAAAGTTCGAGACGCGTTAGTTTGGAAGCGTTTCGAGAAAATAGCCAAAGTTCCCAGGAGGCTCGTTCGTCGGTGCCTTTATTATTTTATATTTCGCGGTAAGAAGGAAGGAAGGAAGGAGGGAGGGAGGGAAAGGAGACAGTGGTGGTGGTGGTGGTGGTGTACGGTTGGTAAGAGTAGAAAAGATAACAGAAATTATACGCACGTTTCAAAGTGAAACAACCGTTAGCGGAGACGCAAAACTTTAATTCGTGGCGATACCGAGACGGCTGATTTCATTTTCGCGAAAATCCGGAAGATTCTAAGAACCAGCCAACCCCTTTCCTTCCTTTCTACTCTAATTCCTTAGAATTTCTCACACTATTTTCTCTCTCTCTCTCTGTCTCTCTTTCTATCGTTTTCTATATTTCTGTATCACTCTTTCAATTTCTTAGAATATTCAAAAGATATTTAAATGTACCACTTGGATACGTTTTTATGGAATGAAGAAAAGAGAAGGATAGAAATTGTTTAAAAAGAAAAAATATCTTCGCCGAACTGTGAAATTTATATCGAGAAATTTTAATGAATTTATAATTAATTAATAAGATCTCTTAAAAATAAATCAAATAATTAGAATATAAAATGAACGAATTGAATAAACAAGGATGAGTCGAAAACCCGTTTCAATTTCAAAGCTTTCAAATGATCAAGAAGGAAACGTGTTTGGTCCAGCAAGTTCGTACCACGTGTCAAATAAACGTCATGGAACGTTTCGTAACGTTTGGAAACAGTGTTTCGGTATTTGTTCCTCTGTCTCGATTTAATACATCTATAATATCGTTTAAAATGATCCCTCTTAGGATGCTTATGTACATAAATAAAGAAGACAAAGTAAAAGAGAGATAGAGAAAAGAGGGAGAAATGATAATGAGGTAATGTAGAAAAGCAATGTAAAGAACATTACCGTTAATATAATTCAAACAAAAGTTGAACAAGAGTGAAAAGAATAAAGAGAAAGAAAGAGAGTCATTGAGAAAGAGAGAAATAAAGTGAAATAAAAAGAGAACGAAATAAAGAGAGAGATTAAGAGATAAAGTAAGATAAAAAGAAAGATAAAAAGAGAGAGAGAGAAAGAGAATGAGATAGAAAAGGATTAATAAAAAGATAAAGATTTGGATAAAAAAAGATAGATTAAAAGGAATATCGAGGAAAAGAAAGAAAGAAAGATAGATAAAGAGAGAGAAATTTAAATAGAGAAACAGAAAGGGAGAAAGATAAAGATAGAGAAGATAAAAGGAAAAAATAAAGAGAAAAAAAAGGGAGAAAGAAAGAAAGAGAGAGAGAGAGAGAGGGGAGAGAAAAGAGAATATAATACTGCTAGTTACAGGTTTCTCTAGCTAGGCCGGATTAAACGTGGATGCTGTAACGTTACATGTCTCACGTTCTTCTACGTTCGGAGTATACCGTTGAAAGCACGTACCAACGCATTTCCAGAATCACCGAATAAACACATGAGCGAATAGGTAAAGCTTGATGGAACGATTGCAGAGCATTACCCTTTTCGATATGCCAGCTGTGTTACATATCGTGTAATGACGACGTGATTGATGTATCATGTTTAAAAAAACAAAAAGAAAAAAAGAAAAAAGAAAGAGAGAGAGAGAAAAAGAGAACGTGGCAGATTGCTTTGGTTCACTAAAAACCGATTAAAAACGAATCGGTAAAAAGGGCTAAAAGAGGTAAAGAAACGAGCCGAGAGAGGTACTTGCCTGTCCCATTAGAAATTCCTTCTTTCGAGCGGTTAATTAACGAGCCAAGTTTTCCACGCATAACAGATAAAGCACGTCTCTTTCTCTCTTTCTCTCTTACTTTCTATCTTTCTCTACCTGCATCTCATTTTTACTATATTTCATTTATATTCTTATACATTATTTTCTCTCATAAAATCTTCCTTTTTTTTTTTTATAATAAATTATCATGTTATAATTAAAAATTCTCTTTTTTTCCTCTCTCACTCTCCCTCTTTCTCTCCCTTGCACAATTAATATAATAAATAATTATTCTTTCTTTCTCTTTTTCTATCTTCAGTCTTATATCTTTACTAGACAAATTACGATGTTTATCTATTATTTTATTTGTCCGTACGAATATTTATATTAATCTATCTAACATATTCTATTCACCAGTTTGCCCATTTTACAACAAATTTAAATCTTTTCATTTCATATTAGTCGAAGTCCGCTGTTAAAGGTGAAGAAAAGTGGGAAAACTCGGCAAAAGTCCCAGCAATGTTAATTGTAACGTAATATATGTAAAGCCCAGCATGCCACAAAGTAAAGTAGGAGGAAGAGTGCTAGGAGGTGGTATCGCGTACGAGAGACCGAGGGGTGGCGACGGAGGACGGAAGGGAAGGAGTTGGAGTGGGTTCGGGGGTTGTAGTAGAGGGTGGTACTAAGTACCCGGACGTTGCTCGCGGTGCCGGAGTTCCAGAGACGAAATAAGCGAGGGTAAAAGTAGGGGAAAGAGCGATCGTGGCGAGAATCCTTGGAGACCAGCCAAAGTGTTGGCCGTTGTATTATAGTCATTACGAGAAACTTATCCTGAACGTTGTACGTCGCGCGAACCAGAACGTTTCTCTTTCTAAAATAGAAGAGAATAAGAGAGAACAAACTTTGCGAATTTCTTTCTCGCTCCCACTCTCTCTCTCTCTCTCTCTCTCTCTCTCTCTCTCTCTCTCTCTTTCTCCCTCTCTTCCCTTTGAAAAGAATAAAAGAAAGCATGCGCGCGAGTTTTATTCCATTCGAAACTTCCCTTTCGACGGATTTCTATTCGAATGCACATGCCAAACAACGATGATTACGATGGCACGCCCTTCCAGCACGTTCGCCTTAAGGAGTTTGCCAAATGCCGTAGTCCTGCGACAAAAATCTACCTGCGATCAAAGGGACCAAACCGCAAACTTTTTACAGTGTAAGAACTTATTTGCTTTTTCTTCTTCTTCTTCTTCTTCCTCATTTTTTTTTCAAAGGTCCTTAATACCTTCTCGCTAAAAAGATTGATGACGTAAGTAAATGTACGTTTGATCGACCATACAACAATTTTTCTCTTCTATGAGAGTTCTGTAATTTTTAAAATAAATAAAAAAGTAATAAAAGAAAGAATGAGAAGTAATAAGTTTCGATAATCACTCGTCGACTATGGTGGTTAAGATTTGCATGAGTAATTTGAATTAATAATAAATGTATTATAAAACTAGTCAAATTTTCATTTGGAATGATCGGTTATGGTACAAATATAATGAATATTACACGACTTATGAAAGATGCTAAAAAAAAAAGCAGCGTAAACTAAAATCGCGCGTATAAAAATAAAAATAATATTTGCCTAAAATATTTCTAGGAAAATATCGCGAAAAAGTTTAATAATATATTTTTCAACAAATCTCTGCGTCTTGGTATAATTCAATCACGTATTTATAAAAATAACTTTATTATCGATGTAACTGGGATCCTATTATTAGAATAATAATAAACTCTTTCGAGATTGTTAGTTTCGTAATTTCGAATGATCCTCTTCTTCTAGAATATTTCGCGTACTTCCATCGACAAGCAATGACAGTAGAAACGGTGATGTCCTTTGCAACATTTTAACCACCGTGTAACGTCGATATGAAGAGAACGGTGTCGTTTGGTTGTAAAACATAATCTCCTTGACCCTGTAAACACCCAATAAATATTCCTCCGTATTACGAAGAATCTCGTAAATATAAAGGGAACAAATTTATAATACATGCAAATAAGTAAACATAAATACGCTGATTTAACTTAGGAATAGAGAATATTTTTCATAAACTTAAATCTAACTGGACAAGAAGATCGATTGCAATAAAAACCATAAATACCAACGAAAGCGATTCCCTTAAAATTTACGAATTGATCCTGACGAGTAAGCAAAGTGAAAAAGGACTCGGAGGAAAGACCTCGCATATAAGATGAAGAAGCATTTAAAAAAGAAAAAATGAGAGTAAAAGAACTAGCTTGCTATATATCTTTCTCCATATATGTAAGTATTTATGTGTATATATATATATATATGTATATGAGAAAAATATAGATATAGATATAGATATAAAAAAAGAAGTAGTAGAAGCGATGAGAGGAGAAAACGAGACAAAGAGACGTGGGAGTCGAAGTGTGCGAGAGAAGCTTTGCGAAACGTTGGTATTATCATAATAATGGCCGAACCCATCATCCTTCTCCCGTCTGCTTTTTGGTTCTCTTCTTCCTACCCCCCTTACTTCCCTTTAAAAGTAGCAACGAGCTCTAATAGCGCCTCCCAACCTACACATTTACAAATTTAAAATGATAATTTTCTTACGGGTGTAGCGAGCCAAGATGATTTGCGCCCTTTTTCGAGAAAAAGAGAGAGGAAAGGGTATGGAAGGGTATGGAATGGGATGAAGGGGGTTGTAAACGGTATTCAAGATCCCTCGTGAATGTGTCTGATGTTTCCCTAACTCCGTTACAATATTAAATGGGATGGAAAATAAATTCATATGTATCTTAAAAGATCTTACTTTTTAAAAAATATGTTCTTACCTCGAAGTATTTCGAGAAGTATACGTTGTGCATGTTGGTAATAATATCATTGATTATATTTTAATAAGATCTTTAGTTCTGTTCGAAAGCTTCTAATGCGATGTTGATAACTGTAGTAAAGTAAAAAAAAAAAGAAAAGATGCCTGTAAAGTGCGGTCTTCAATACTGAATGTCAATGATAAACTAGTACTCGATTCCTGATTTATAAGCCCAGAGTCATCTAGCGACGAAATTGACTAACTACGTATGAACTTCTCGCACAATAATACGACTTAACCCTTTTTTCTGTTTTATTTTATATCGAAAAAAGTAAAGAAAACAATTCAAACTATAATCTTCAAAGGTATACAATTAATATTATTTAACGAATTATACGATAGAATGATTAGAATGCTAGAATGGAAGAATAAAATCGATGTATGTAAATATTTATGTATATACGATTATACAAAATATAACCTAATAAAACTCACCAATAATTCCCAATCTGTGTCGTTAACAAGAACAAGAATTCCTGGTCGTCTGAAAAATTGAATAACGTTTTAATTTCAGCTGACAATACAAAAATTCACACCACTAAACACTTCGCGAATGCTATGCAATCACAATCATATTTTACCGCGTTCTCCACTAAATTAATAGGCGACGCTACCTAGCGGAATAAACTGAAACTAGATGAAAGGCCGATGTCATGATAAAATGCGAACGTGTCCATTAAACACAGTAAAGTATGAAAGTGAAATAGACAAAATATTGTGTGAATTATTACAATGTTTCATACTTAATGTTAATTAATGTCAATTGAAATTAAAAAAAAATCGATGTGTATAAAATACATGAAAAAAGAGGAAAAAAAAAATATATAGAATAAAATTTATTATAACGGTGTGTACTTACACGGTGTCTCCTTGCATAAAAAGATCCAATCGATCTTTCAAGAGATTATCTTTAATCCAATATATTAAATTTCTCAATGTCCCTATAAGATATAGTGTTATTATTGTTTAAGGAAGAGATCTATTAATCAATTGAAAAAAACCGGAAATTATAACCTTACATTCATCAGCAGGTAAGTTAACCTTGTATATCCTTTTCTTATCGAACAATGTCTCGGCTCCACCTCTATAAAAGAATAATTTTTATTGAAATACGTATGCATAGTTTTATTGTAGTAGTAAAATATGTGAATGTAATAGTATGCAGTAGTTGCAATTTCCTATAAAATAATTGATAAATATCAATATTTCTTTTTATCTTTTAGGTATCTCTCTCTCTCTTTCTCTCTCTTTTTCTCTTTTTAATTGTTTGGTGGTATTTACCCGAACTCTATTGTTATCGGAAAAGTTTTATCTTCGGAAGGCATATTGTTTTAATCTTCTTTTTTTATTTTATTCTCTTCTATTGCAATTTTCTGAATTTACACTTTTCGTTTGTAAGCTCCGTAAATCAAGCACGCGCGCATGCGGCATCCGATACTTAATGGAAGGAACGTTCCTTCGTTCGGAATTCGAACTACAGTGGCGTCTGATATGGAAACTTTTAAATTTTATAAATACATTTCGATTTAATATGACATATTATTGGTTATAAAGAATACAGCAACACTACATTTCTTAATTTTTATTATTTAATTGTAAATATTAATTTTTAAATCCAATTGTTCTCTAATTAAAAAAAGATTTATGTGAAATTTAATTTAAATTAATTTATTTAAACAGTAATATAAATAGAAACACAACTACTACGTTTTTCAAAATGATAACAAATTGTTAAACAAACGTGCCAAAAGATATGTCTAATTTTTGGAAATAATGATTACATTTTTTAAATAATGATCGAATATTCATATATTATATTTAAATACGTACAGCCCTGTTACAATATGCCGGTCATTAGTCCCGTCGGAGACGCTTGACATGTAAATATTCTCGTCAAAATTTAGTAATAACATTCATAAATTGGCAAAAGGTCCAATAATTGTTAAAATAAGTTAAAGATTGTATCTTCACGTGTTTATAATAGAAAATGAAAATATATGGTAACAGAAATAATAATTACAATTTAAAATTCGATTCAAAATAAATTTATCTCTCCTTTTCTGTCTGTCTCTCTCTCTCTCTCTCTCTCTCTCTCTTGTGTAATATCATACATATATATAATACACATACACACCACAGAGAACCAAATATACTCCACACATCTAGACTCGCTCGTTGAGAGAAGGCGAGTTTAAGATGGCGGATAGGAGAATAGATTCGCGTACAACTGTCTATACAATTAATTTGGATTCTTTCGAGGAATATTATCAAAGTGCGCCTAATACTGTCTTATCTGCCAATGGTTAACAACAATCATCTTTAAAAGAATATTAATAACACTACTAACCATCTTATAACTACTTTAGACATGTCAGATCAGAAGAAACGTGTTTCGAGTAATGTTGAGATGATCAATCAGATGGAGAAAGAAGAATCAGATGAGAATCAGTCAAAACACGAAGATGCTCTTGTAATGGTAGATCCTGAGACACCAATGCTAGAGGATGAGGAAATGCCTACGTACATCAGTGTTTCAACTTCATCCAAATGCGAAGATTCAGATGTCAGTAATGTGAAGCATCACGAAGAAGATTCTTCTATGAAAGAACAATCAGGTAGTCCTTGTACTAGTGAACAAGAAGGTCCTGCTAGTGTTTACGTTCTCTCATCCGAAGAAGAAACAGATCAACATTACGATGAGGATGATATTGACTGTGGTGATAGTGATGGTAATACAAATGTTATATTCTCTCTATGTACTTATATTTATATTTTCTTTCACATTTACATTAACACACACTTTCTCTCTTTCTACATGCAGATATGGATGAAAATGATCAAGACAATGATATGGATGATGACGATGAAGAGGACTTAGAAGAAGATGATGATGAGGAGTACGAAAGAAATATCTTTGAAACTTCATCTGAATGTTTAGGCCTTAGAAATAAATTGAAAAGAAGATATAGAATTAAGAGTCTATCTCTGCAAGATTTAAACACCTTAGAAAATAATTCTTGCAATGTTGACTTTGGAAAAAATAGGTTGAGTATTTATAAATATTATTCTTTAAAACTTTGCTAAAGTTTTATTATATTAGATAACAAAATTTCTCTCTCTCTCTCCGATTTTTTTAGATTCAGGCACGTAGAAAGCAAAGTGAAACGTTACATAAATGATATGAAAGAACAAAGGAGATATGCTATGGGATCACGTATAAGAAATGAATTTCAAAATGAATTTCAAACAAATAGAAATTGCACCGACGTAACAGGTAAATTAATTATTATTTATAAACAAAAATAATATTATAATATAAAACATAAATTCTATTGTATACTTTCTATTGCTCAGTTGATGATGTACAATTGAAAGGTGTAACATCTAATAAAGTTATAAGGCCTTACGCGGAAAGGGCTATTAAAGATTTAGAAATTGAAGAGTCATATACAAATGAGAAAGATCTATATATGGGGCCAATAACAGAAAATGGTGAAGAAGAAGAAGAAGAAGAAGAGGAAGAAGAAGAAGAAGAAGATGAGGAAGTGGTAGTTAAACATAAACGAGATGGGAAATCTATTAACATGGATATGAGAGAAAAAGAGTTTTTAAACACAGAGATACAAAATGAAAAACTTAATGGTTCGATGCAAATCCATAATCATAACTACAATCAATCCACTGGTCAAAAAAATTTGAAATACACGAACGAGACTTTAGTTAATGGTCATCAACAACAATTAAATGTTTATAATCTTCGTACGCTATCTTATGATGAATATATGCACGGTAACGAGAACTTTTCCCAAGACGAACAGTTGAATAAAAATCTAGATAACGAACAAAATGAAAATAATGATATTCAAGCTTACAGCGACATAGATGTTATAAACACTGTTGAAACTGACAATAGTAATGCTGTCTGTTCGTTAAAAATAGAAAATGTTAAGAGCATAAGGGTAATGTCAGAAGAATCTAAAGATAATACAGAGAATTCGAAATTTGAAAAAATTAATGAAGAAAGTAACAAAAGTAATTCGGATATAATACAATTGACGTTATTAAAGACACAGTTGGATCAAAAAGCAATTCAATTTAATAACCTAAAAAAAGCATATCAAAGCACGATGATGGAGAATTTAAAAATGAAACAAGAATTGGAAGAATTAAAAAATTCTCTAGCAAAGTACAATAAAGAAAATCGAACATGCGAAACAAAAGTCGTAGCAGTACAAACTGATGTAATTAAGGAATCAGTAACTCAAAATATGGAAACTACTGATACAAAAGAAAAAGCTAACAAATTATCTGCCAGTAGTATTACATCTACAATCAGTTCTATAAATCAATGGACTGATAGCGCTGGTAGTTCAGGTATATCACTTAAACCACCAGATTTGGGGACGATATTAAATTCAGAGGATAGTTCAGTAATAGCAGAAAACTCGCCAAGAGAAGTCAACCGACCTCTGTCTCAAGCATTCATCACATCATCTAGAATATTAAAAACGCTTTCAAATCTAACACAAGGAAAATCAAAAGTTGATGTAAAATCTTCTCTGAATAGTAGTTCTATTAAAAGACCAAGTGGAAGTGAAGAAAGCAATGGTTCAATAATAGCCGGTTCTAATACTTTCACAGTAAAATCACCATTCAATGCAAAAAAGAGGAAAGCGACTGAAATGCTTGGTAATTCATTATATTTACAACCATTCAAAATACCGCATATAGAAGAAGTAAAAAAAAAATCAAGTGTGACCCTTTCTGATTTTAATGTAGATTTCAAACCAACGGAAAATTATAGCGATGTAAAATTAGATACACAAAAGAATAGAATGAATAATATTAGTCGTTCAGTTAGTCCAACAAACATAGATGACAAAAGTGATAAAGCTGAAGACATTGAAAACGAAAATAGCAATGTGAAATGTTTTGTATATCAAGAAGATGATAATACTAACGACCGAAATATTTTAATACAAGCAGATATATCTAACGATGATCAAGAACCAGTTAGTATGGGTTGTATACGAGAATGTGGACCATATTTGCTTGGTAATGTAGAAGTACGTATGTCTGAAGTAAATGGTACGATCAACATTTGGGGCAAAGAGGCAAGTATAGATACTTGAATTTTCCTACTTTTTAAGCAACTGTGAAAATTGATCTAATCATTTATTCAAAAAACGATACTTACAGATAAGTGAAACATCAATGGTCGAGGAAGAAGAGTTAGAAGCAACAACAAGATCACCTTGCACCAACAAAAAGTGTGCTTGTTTGCTAAGCACTGCTATAACACCACATAGAAAATTTAACGGTAGTCAAATGGTATGTTCGACAAATAAAAAAGTAAAGTTACAATCTAAATTTAACGAAGGGCATACTTCACGTCAATACTTGAATGTACCGAACGCACAAATTCATGTAGATAACTTATTGAGTCCAAATGTCCCTGCTTCCTGTGAGAAGTGTATCTTATTAAATCAACAGAAAGAATGTTCGATACACAAACGACACGTTAATAATCTACATGAAAAATCACATTCCTGTTGTTTACATCAAACGGAGCATTTAGAAAGAGATTACAAATATGTATGTGATTGTGAAAGACTAAAATATAATAACGATAGTCCAAATTACATTAAAGATGGTTATTGCACAGAAAATAAATTCTCATCTAGAAATACGCCAGATAGCAAGAAAGATTTATACGAAAATACTAATCCAGTCGATGCCAAAGAAGTGATATGTAAGCATCGAACTGCGTGTCGTCGATCTTCTTTACATAATACAGAGGCGAATTTTCAGAATGATATGAAATGCTGTAACACGATTAGAGAAACACCACATACATGCAAATCGACGTTAGGATGTATAGCCAATCACGATAACGGTGATGAAAATTGTTGTAATCATAGTGCAATGAGCAACAACAATGATCTATTAGGTCCAGAAAGAACTCCTCATGAAACACCTGAAGTAAGAAAAATTCAATATTTACCATGTAATATTCCCTAAATATCATGGTTAATTATATTTAAAAATAAATAAATAAATAAACTAAATCGTCTTTTTTTTATATACTACTCAGGTTAGACAACGAAGATCCAGCGGTAAGAAAGTAAGAGGAATTTTAATGGATCTTTTAAAAAGTTGTGGAGATTATCGCAATGGGAATGGAAGTTCATCTAAAAGATATTCTTCTAATGAGAAAGATGCATCACATTTGATTAATTGCTCTCCACAAATTAACGTCACATCTAGTTGCTCGCCAGAAGCTAGTTGTTCAAATGCACAACAATCTAGTAGAAGGTAAAAATTATTTATTTGTATATGTATTTTAGATTTTTTTTCTTGTATCCTTCACCTATTCGCAGGAATTAAAAATAATTATTAAAAAAATATTAAATAAATAATAATAATTAATCAATCTTTCTTTACTTGCAGATGTTGTCACGCGTATACTCGGCGTATCGAATCTCAACTGGAAGAATTTCGTATGGAAATGGAACGAGTACGTTTGCGTTCCGATGCTATATTAAATTTACTCAACATGCTTCATTCTGTTGAAATGAACTGATACAGTCGTAAATAACATTAGATATATATGCCCTTTCCTTTGTAAATATTTTTCTTTCTTATTTCACAATTCGTCTTATTTTATATACGAATATTTTCTTTTCTTCATCATCTAATTTCATTGATAATATAAAAAAGAAAGTAAATGGTTGATTTATTGAATAAATATACATGGTTTAAAACAAACTTATAAAATGCTTTCGTTCTTTTTTCTTACAAATCCACTGCTACGTTCTTGATGATCAAATGATCGCTCGTGTTTCTTTGAATGTCTTCAAAAATTTTCAGAAATATTTCGAATACAAATAAGTCAAGTCACGATTGATTTAAAATTATCGGGAGAGAGAAAGGTCTCGCGACACACAAGTAGAAAAATAAATATAGTAGCTCTATTTTAATAAATACCGTTTAAAAGTGTTCAAGAGCATGTAAAAATGCTAAAAATATATGACATTATCAATTAATAATTGCAGTCGCAAGAATCGTATCCCGCACCTAGCGTACCATCTCCTGGCAAACCAACAGGACTTTCTCCTTGTCCTTTAAAAACATTACTGTACGAAGTTTTTAAATAATTCACGTGTCCTTGTAATGATCTGATACGGCCTTGAGCTTGTTCGAAAGCTTCGTTTAAATTATTTATCTGACTTTGCATCTTTTGCCTAATCTGTATCGTATAAGAATACAAATATTTTATTTCGATTGAACGTATATTAAATAAAAATGTATATGAGTTCAGGAGAAAAAGAATTGACTACCTCGTCTCTATCCTTCTGTGCTGCTCTAGCTGTTGCTCTACACTGAGCTAGTTGTCTTTCCATCTCAGCTATTTGGCCTTGCATTGTTCGTCTCACTGTTTCACATCTTTCTTTGGTACGTGCCACTTGTCTTGCGCTGTCTTCTCTCACCTTTAAGAAGATATTGTAAGCATCAGAAGAAACAAAAAGAGAAAGAAATAACAAATATTTTCAAATTTAAATATGATTTCCCCATCTTTCTCTCCCATTATACTTGTTCGAGCATTGCAGTTAATTGTGTTATTTCATGCATCTTTTCATCTATGCGTTTCTGCAATTGTGCTTCGTGTTCCTCGAATCTAGCAAGTGTGTTTTTCATACGTTCATTGTCGTGTCTTAATTCAGCGTTCTTCTTTTCTAACTCATCAAATCGTCCCGTACCAAGCCCTCTTTCCTCCTAAAATAAAATCGAACGAATTAGTCCATGTGTTTTAATTGTTTAATCCTAAGAATATTTAAACTCACTTGTAATGTTTGATGTTCGTTACGTAGTGCGTCTAATTGACTTTGCAACGTTTGAATCTTATCCTTACATCCTAAAAGTTCTCGTGAAAGATCCTCGCAATTACGTTCGGCTACTAATCTCATTTGTTGAGCTTCTTGAAGTTTCATTTGTGTTTGCTTCAAGATGTCCGGCAAAGGTGCAAGTTCCGCGAGTTTTTCTTGAAATTGATTCTGTTATAAATTCATAGTAAAATTTATTTCATTTTCAATCAATATTATTTTTAATTAATAAATAATGATGAAAATTAATTTACTTTGACCCTTCCAATTTCTAATGTTACATTTTCATTCATTCTTGCATTATCCATCTCCATGAGGTCGAGTTGTCGACGTTGTTCCTCAACCTGTTGCTGAGCCTAAAATAGGTTCTCGTTAAATTTTTAATTTATCGACTAGATCAAAGAAAAATATGAATAAAATAAAAATTAAATTTTGTCGAACGAACTTGTAAATATTTATTGCGATAATCTTCCAATTGAGCAGCTTGATCTTGAATCAATGATCGCAATTCTTCTAATTCATCCTGTGCTTTTCCAAAACGTTGCTTGGCCATTATCAATGCTTGCTCTTGCTCCATCATCTGTTCTTTTTGACCTAATTTATAAATTTAACATTATTAACATCGTACATGCGCACATAAAAGCATTTAAACATTTATATAAAATGATTACCTTCGAATTTCTCTCTTTCGGCTTCTAAGGATTTCAAACGTTCCTGCGTGTCTATCAATTTTATTTCCATTCTTTCCTTATCTTCCTTCGAGTCTCGGACTTCTTGTTTCAATTTTTCCATGTCGGTTCTAAGACAAGATACTTCGCATAATTTATTCTTGTAATCATCTTGAAGACGTGCGTATTGTTCTCGCAAATCACGTAATTGTTGTTGAGGACAAGAGCTTGCACCCTAACGATAGAAAAACAAAAGTAGTAAGGATCACACCTGAAATTATTTCGAATCTTCCCGAGCGATCCTTACCATTGGTGCAGTTATACAGGGCCCAGTACACATAGCAGACGTGGATTGTTGACTGATCTGCGCCTGACCAAAAACGAGCGTAAATGTCTTCAGAGCTGTATTTATTTATATCGAACATTATATGATTACTGAACTCAAAAACTTACTAGTTAAATATAATCATTCTTATCAAATGAATATTATAAGCAAGAAACGTTGAAAATACCTTTGGCATAGACATGAGTGGAACGTTTCCATTCCCAGATGATGAAGGGATTGGGAGAGGTAATTGAGTACTTGGAATATAACTTGAAATCACAGAAGGAGGAAGACCACCACAAGGTGGTGGTGGTGGAGGACAGCAGGCGCATGGTGCACAGGGTCCGGAACATTTAAGCAACTTGCGTTGTTGTTCCAATTGTTGACGTTCTCGTTGAACATTCGCTAATTCTATTTGCATATTTCGTACTTCACACTCCATACTACCTAACTGTTGTGCCTGTACACGAATAGTTTATAAAAATTAAAATATAAGAAAAAAAATTAGGATACGAAATACGAAAGAAAAAACAATACCAATTGTTTCGTATTGTTCCCATAAATGGCAAATTTGTTCTCCAATTCGGCTGGGCAAACACCTCTAGGTGTTGGCTCGGGACAGACTTTAGAACAAACTGTTGGATTACGGAAACACATTTCTTCGGTTTGTGATGAACTTCTACTCAAAATACAGTTGCCTGTTCTCGATGCACCACCTGCCAATCTAGATGATCCTAATATTAAAACAAAAAACTTTTTATTAGTATTATTTTTTATTTTTGTAAAATTTGATAAAACATTCTTACCACAATCGTTTGAAGTCTTACGGCTGTGCGGATTCACTGAACAAACAAATAAATCAATGAATTAACAAATTTTTTATAAAACGTATACAAAATAAAAAGAGTAGGCTTTATATTTTTTTACCGCATATAGAAGTAGGCGATTGAACAGGACTATCGTAAGTAACGCAATATTTGCACTGGCAACAACCCTGATCCGGCAACGATGAAGTAACTTGCGAATACGCTGGTAAAGATGAGACTGTTGGTGGTGAACAAGATGACCTACGTTCCGGATAGGTGTAACAGCAAGTTGGGGTAGTGATACGTTGATTTAAACAAGCCAATCGACGATTTAATTCCGTATTCTCCTTCACCATTAAACGTATTTCAGCTTGCAATCCGCATACCTTCCGTTGAAGACACTCGACAGCTGTATCTTTCTCCAATAATGCTTCTTCTAATTCGTATCTACAAATGTATTCCCAAAAAAGATAGACGAAATTTTTTTCAAGAATGACATACACATAAATTCGAATTTCACGTTACAAATTATGGATAAAATTAATCCATCTTCAAAGAGATTATGTCATAAAGTTGTAAATGATCATACGGTGCTCGTCGAGCTTAAAAATATCTCTTGCGAAGAAAAACATTGACAGTTTGTTGCCACGGTGATTAATTAACTTTTTGTACAATTTCTTTGTTTATTCTTCGATTGTTTCGATATGAAATCGATTTTTGATTATTAATTTTAACTCTATGTTTATGTGTTATTTAAAATTAAATATAATTACTCTTTACGAACGTACTTTCCACCTTCCAGTTGTGCGTTCTCTTTAACTAATTTTTCTTGCATAGTCAAGGATTCAGTCAATTTTCCTGTTAAATTTTGCAAACATTCTTTCTTTCCTCCTCGTTCACCGTCCGCTATCACAATCTTTGGCATTTCGTCTTCTGTGTAACCACAGACGATCACTCTTGGAAGCCTTTAAATATATATAAAATAAAACAGTCATATATAAATGTGAATATATCATATTATAGAATTTATATATTATTTTTAATTTACTTGTCTTCTTGATATTCTGGTTGAGGTAAATCAAAATGATCGTCCATCGCAGGCACCATTTCTGCTTTGGATTTTTCTTTATCATCTTTAGTTTTTTCAGCCGGTAAAATTTCGACCTCTTCTCCACCACCCTGTGTACAATAAATGTTTGGAAATCACTCGAAAATCACATCATTTTCATGCGTAAAAGAATTAATAAAACATTGTGGGGATATAAGTTATTAGCAAATAAAAATCCTACACTACTCTGGGTATTAGTCAACTAACTGAAGTATCTTTACAGAATTTCTTCCAACGTTAAAAAAAAGAAGATGACCAATAATAAATCTTACATCGATTGATCTCGTATGCGGAAAAGTTAACAAGCCGAACATTTTAGAAAATGTTTCGCTAGTAGGATCAGTTAATCCTAACAGTCTCTGTAACTTTCGTGTCATTTGTTCAAACTCAGCTAACTTTGACATTAAATCCTCTTGCTTCTTTTGAATCACTATTGTATCCTCGTCCGTCAATTCTTTTTTCTACAAAAAAAATTACATGTTAAACAAGATAATTAAAATACGATACTACAGGATTTAAAAAAAATAATATTTACATCAGCTAACTGAAGCATTTCTTCTTTTAATTTTTTAATTTCGTCTGCGACTACTTTACATCTTTCATCGGCTGCTTTCAATTCTGTTATCACGGACTCTTCCGCTAAAGGTGAAGCACTTAACACGGACTCTCGACGTCTTCCAGCTTGAACTGGTACACCTGTTTTGTTTGATGGAATTGTTAAAAAATCTTCCGATTTATTTTTATTTACAGGAAAAAAAAGAACAAGGAAATAAATTTAATGCACCCTCGCCAGCACCAGCTGGTATTGGATAAGATGGTGGAAAAGGTCTGTCATATTCTTTCGATGCTTGTTCAGTATCAGTTTGTATTTCTTCAACATTCTCTTCTTCTTCTTCTTCTTGCAATACTTCTATAGATTCATCCGCCATTTTTTTATTTACCTGGTTTTCCTGCTCGACAGGGTTACTATACAAAAAATATCAAATAAAAATGTATTATTTTTATACATAAAACTTTTGTTAAGAATTTTATTATTTTCTTACTTCAATAAATCTTTTTCATTCGAATGATTTATTATTTCTTGTGAATTTACATTCGGTTCTCCACCTTCTTCTAACGTATTATTCGTAATAGGATTATTTTCTTCGATTTTCTAAAAAAAAATGAATTTTTCGTCATTAATAATTATATGTTTATGTAAAAAAATGTTATACCTGTTTTGAAATATTTGTAATATTCGGAAATAATTCGATAGTTTTTGAAATTGAATCTCCAGCCAAATGTTTCACGTCCTTAAGACTTTGTTTTTCAAAAACGATATTTTTCTTATATTGCTGAATTTGAACTAAATTTATTTTAGATAAATGCAAAGGTTTTTTTATATCAAATAAAGATTCCAAGGATGCAAATGTATCTCTTTTTAAGCACGAATCGTTTCCATGCTCTCCGTTACTTTTTTGAAGCTTTCCTCGTTGTAAACGTCGACGTTTTATGTCAAATAATTTTTTATTATTTTTTCCAGACTTCTCCAAATCAGATCCTTGAATAGATGTTGTAGAATTTTTTGGTGAATTTAAATGATTCAATACGCACAGCCGTCGCGTCTAAAATTAATTATTTAATTCTCATTTTTTATTCTTTTTATAATAATTTAATATTTAATATTTAAAATAAGTGATAAAATGATTAATCGACAAAAATTGTATAGCTCTTTCTTTTGTTGCGTTCATTATAAAATAATAAAAATAAATCCGCGCTTTTTGCAACTACGTGTACTCGTAGTTCTAATTTTTACCTTCATTCTTTTACCTTCGTAACAACACCGTTCTTCGTACAATTCCTTTAAATTCTTGTCTAATATATAAAATATTTATTATTTGTTGTATTTTATTTATTATTTTTGGCGAAGACTCGGTGTTGATATCAAATAGCGGCGAACAATTTTTAACGTCTTAAAAACCGAAGCTGAAATAAAATATTTTAATATATTATTATTATTAATTTCTTAAAATTATATTATTGGGAAAAAATAAAAATTTGACGTGTCACTCACTTTATAGAGACTGTAATTGAAAAAATATAAACACGTTACGATCATCTTTTATCTGCCAATAATTTCATTCGATTAGAAACGTATTATTTGAATGCAGTTACTCTCTCTCTCTCTGTAACTATGGTACAAGTAACAAGAAAGTATTTATTACATATATATTTTTACATAAATATTATAATTATACTAATTGTAACTAAAGTAATATAATCATATATCAATAACAGAAATTAATATTACCTTAATAAATCTAAAATTAATAAAATAATCTAGAACTAAAGGTACTATAGCATTGTAAGGAGTTTTGAAAACTTAATTTCTTATTAGTGGAAAAATATTTGACTATATAATCTTGCAAAATTATCCCTAATAATAAATAACAATTTTTATTACATAAAATTTAAATAAATTAATTCAATCTATACATCTATATAAAATATATAAAAAGATTTATATAAATCCTTCTAATAAAATTATCTAATAGAAGCCAAAATAAAACTCTCTCTCTCTCTCTCTCTCTCTTTGGAATCAAATGATTTAAATCTTTTTCGTTTGAAAATTTACTATTGGCGCTGTAGTCGCAGCTCGATTTAGACATAATAAATCCCGTGTTTCTTGGTTATGTTTACTTACATAGAATCATTGATATAATAAAAAACTATTTTCTATTAGGATAATTAAAAGAAAACAAATATTTTATATCATCAAGTCAAATCGAGGATCGTTAAGGATAATCAAATACATTATATGTATACAAACTATATCAAAATGAATGCTAATATATGTTACTAAAAATATTATGTTTTAAATCAGGGGATTATAATTTATTCAAAATATTCTATAAATACTTCAAATGCACATAACATAAAATAATAATATCTTAAAAAAACAAGAGCATGGAAGAAAATATGGAATACAGTTAAGTATTATTCTATGATGTTATTCATAAATATAAAAAAAAAAAAATAAATAAAGAACTAATAACATAGATTAAAAGATTGTTAATATTGCAAATATATTAGGATATTTTTTTATTATTTTTGTAGGTGATAATGAATTAGAAGACAGTAATGATGAATCTGAAATAGTAGTTATTGAAGAAAATGTATCACCATCCAACAACGAAGAAAGTAATTCGAACACTGACACTATTTTCGAAAATATAAGTAGTAAACCAGTTATAAAATGTAAATATAAAATTCTCTTTATCATGTATAAGAGAATATTTATTCTATCTACATATTGTATATAATTTTATTTTTAATTAAGGTGAAACAGCCTCTGTGACAGAAAAATCTCAGGATCACAATAATGATAGTATAATAGAAGATTCCGATCAAGTATGTTCAATTTGTTTGGAATCATGGACAACAACTGGAGATCATCGCTTGTGCTGCTTACGTTGTGGACATTTGTTTGGACGCAGTTGTGTTTTAAAATGGTTACAAGTTTCTTGTACATCTTCTACCAGAAGATGTCCACAATGTAACATAAAAGCTCATTTAAAGGACATTAGGAATTTATATGCTAAAAAATTGGTTTCTATCGATAACTATGAACTTGAATTAGTGAAAAATCAATTGTCAATTGTAATGGCTGAAAAAAATCGCCTTGAATCAGAATTATCGACTAGCAATATGCGAACAAAGTTATACGAAGAACAACTGACTAATATGAAAACTTATATAGCTGATCTACAAAGTCAATTAAATACAGTTAAGGGGGATTTGAATCACTGTATGAAAAACGAATTAACAAGCACTAAGTTTCATCTTGAACATTCTTTAGAGATTTGTAAAGAGGATGGTTGTCGTGTGTTAGATTATAATCCTTGGTATGGATTATTGGTCGTTTCGCAAAAATCAGAAAATCCCATATTTGCAGGATATGGTGTCAAAAAAATAGATGTGGAAACCTTTGTATCACGACAATTTCTTTTTCTTCATTCTCAAGCTATAAGAGACATTAATTTTCACCCTTCACAACAGAATATACTTCTAAGCGTTGGCTTTGATAAAACTGCTAAATTAATTGATATTCGTAACAATGTTATAATGCATTCCTATAAAACAGATTTTACATTATGGAGTAGCTGTTGGTCAAGCGATGATGCTAATGTTTTTTTTGCTGGTGCTCAAAACGGATCAATAATACAATTTGATATTAGAAATACTTTGGGTCCTGTTGATAATTTACCGAGTCCTTGTGACAGATCGCCTGTTGTTTCTTTAGCATCAGTACCAGCGTATGCAGGAAATGGAATCACTAAAGGTGGATTTATAGCATGTCATTTAAACAGTTGTAACGCATACGAACTTATAGAATCCACATATGTATACAAAGAAATGAATTTGCAAGGTCCTTTTTTTTCCGCACGTTATGATAAAAAAGATAATCATGCTCTAATATCTTGTCGACCTAACGAACAAACACCTCAGGCAAGGCATATTGTATGTTCTATTGAAAATGGAAATGATAATATGGTCTTATGTAATGTTATACATACGTTTAATGCTGGACATTCTCAACGCCTTTTGTCACGACCTTGTCAAGTATCTGTTGAAAACGACACACTAATTGCAGCCCATCAAGAATCTACTAAAAGCATTCCATTCTGGAGTATGACAACTGGCAATCAAGTGCATAATCTTCAAGTATCTGATTCAATCATAGATATGTGTTCTTTCAAATTTAACGATAATGTATATTTAGCAACTCTTTCCGCAAGAAAACTTAGAATGTACAAACATAACTCCTTGTGACAATGATACTTTCCTATCTATTTTACTGCTTAATCAATTAACTTATATTTGATCTATTAAGAACATAATTTAAAAATATTACATGTAAATATTTCCTTTGAATGTAATAATAACTTATGATTCTACTGAGAAACTATAAATATATATATATTTTGATACCTATTTTATACAATATTGTATTCTACCTATATTATTGTTTACAAACTTTTTTTAATAAAAAGATTTTGGTAATATAAAGATAAAAGATATATAACTAATCAATTATTAGTAATTTGTTTTTCGAATTTGAATATATACAGGACACCCCGTATATATAAAGTGGAAGTATAAGTCATGTTAAAAATTAAAAATAAGAGATCTACTCGAACAAGGATTCTTACTTTGGTTTAATTGAATTGACATGCGTTTGAAAAGAGAACCATATTCGATACAATTGTCTCAATATTACATAAAAATTAGAGAAATTCAATTATATACTACATATTTAATATTTTCTCATATACAATATAAAATTTGTTTATTTCTTTGTTTTATTCTTTTTCTTTCTTACTTTTTTTTTCATCGAACTCGTATAGTAAGTAACTTTATCAGATTAATTTAAGAAGAACTTTTATAAATCAACCTTTTTTTCCATGGAACATAGAAATTTGCTTCGATAAACATTTGTTTTTTTAACTAAATAGTATGAAAATTTACAATGTATGTGGATAGTACCTTTTCATACTGCAAGATCTTATATAATTTGTTCGTGCATTAAGATGCACTTAATGTAATGGATATTTTTTTATACGTTTTGAATAACATAATAGTAATATGAATATATAAATGCAGTTAGTGTGAGTCTGGAATGTCAATTATTATAAATTTGAATACAAAATAATATTTCTATATGCATATGAGGTGATCATCAAGAATCAGGTCATCGTCCATAACCCAACACCAGAAATGTACAAAATGTAAATATTAACAATATGGTATTTAAGTGTATGAACGTTTTTATATAAATACAATCTAACATTATTAAATTTTCATCTATTTCAGTAACATACATTCCGAATCTAATCACAATTACACTTCTGTATGATTTTAACAAAAGAAGTGTAGGGAAATAATTAGAAGATCATTAAAAAAAGAAACATGATTTCTGTCTTAACACATGTTCTTGTATAAGAAGCATCGTACTGTGTATTGACTTCTGTAACAAATCAATGATATACTAGGCACTGTTCATAAAGATACTTCAATACAGTACCCGGAAGAATTTATTTTCTTTTTTTTACTTTACTGGTCTAAAAAGAAAAAGAAAAAACGAAATATTTATGAAAAAGATGTATGTAATATCCTGACCTATCGAATTTATGAACAGAGAATGAAGAAAAGACTTTTATGTGCTTGTTTTGCGTTCAACACAAAATAAAAAAAGAAATACACACTCAACCATTCCAAACATTGTACAATTATATATATATATAAAAATAATTAAAAAAAAAAAAGAATATATAAAGACGTAATGAACACACTACTGAATTTCCATAACAGTTAGAAATATTCTTGGATAGTACAATATCATCATCATCGGGTCGGTTGAAATAATTAAAATTAAAAACTAAAATTTGTTGTTTGTGAATCTTATCTTTGAGATATATGTAGCTATTTATAAATTTTGCCTTTATATTGTTTTGCTAAATTTCTTTCAAAGCCTGTGTTTTATAAATGAAGCAGATAACTACCAAAGACATCAAATCAGACATATTAAATATTCTTCTTTCTTCTTCTTTTTTGGTTTTTTATAGTGGAAATATTGTTATTAAAAAGAGTTGAATTTGATTATAAAAACTGCTATGGTATAATTAGTTGAGTGTGTTGTTACAGAAGTTCCTAAATGACAAAATGAGTGGTCTTTGTATGATGAATTAACTGTACAGTTATCACTAACTGAAGAGCTGTTCGGTGGCACGTTCCAAATCCCAGTTATATGAGGAAAGAGCAACTCTTGCATTATGTTCTTCAATTCCCATATCCGTTAATCTTCTTATTTTTTCATCTAGTTCGGGCATTTTTGCGGGTCCTACAATCATTAATAATAAATTTAATATATCATTCATTTAAGTAAAATAAATTTCTATCTTGTGTTAGTGCAATAAAGAAAAGAAAAGAAAGAAAGAATATTCATACCACCCGCATATACAAATGTCCAATGTTTAGCAGTTTGACGGAACATGTCAGGCTGCTCTTTATATTGTTTAGCTACTACTGCATCCTGAGGATCATCAGGTTCTGCCGCAGATAATAAGGCTTGTAATGACAGCAATACTGTTCGTAAGGTCATTGCAGCTGCCCTTGAATGTAAAGATAATGATCAAAAATATATTTTGTATTGTAAGTATAATTTATACATCAAATTTTTTGAATGATATATCTGTTACCGTCATAGTCGGAAATCCGTCATTGCTAGTAATACCCCCGACATTATCATCAATGCAAAGCGCCTTTTGACAAAGTCGGAAATGTATTCATATTTCTCACATTTCCTAGAAATTCTTCCTAGAATATTTCATTCTAAACCCGCTTATCTTCCGATACGATAAGGAAAAAAAGGCGCTTTGCATTGATGACAATGCCGGGGTATTACTAGCAATGACGGATTTCCGACTATGACGGTAACATATATCAATAGGCATAGAACACAGAATTATATACCATTGGTCTTTTAATATATCCAAACAAATAGCACCTGTGACGGAAGATATGTTGGGATGCCATATTTTTGTTATAAAACGAACCTATAAAGAAAACAAATTAAATTAAATAAAAATAGTTAAATGATCAATTGTAATGTATACAAACTACAATATACAATACTTAGATACGACATAATAGTTATTACCACGCATAAAAACGATCAAGATATTAAAAACATATTAACTTACAAAGTGCTTACTTTAGGAGGATTGAAGGGATACGTCTCAGGTACTTTGATTTCAAGTACAAAATTACCTCCTTCATAAGGTGTATCTGGTGGTCCAGCTATTTCCCCTTTTAATTCAGTAAAGCTATCATTTACCAACTCAACTTTGATTGCACACTTTGCAACCTGTAGCAAAATATAAAAAGCAATGTAATAGTTGAATAATAAAAAGAAAATTCATGATAACGAAATTGTATATGTAATAAAATGTTCCGTTAAAAACATTTGATAAAAGAGGTCAAATTACATGAATTATTATTATTAATAACATTATTATGCTAGAAAAAAGGAAGAAACAGTTGAAAGTAGAGAAAAACAAGATATAAATCATGCTGTGATGAAAATAAATAATACACATGTTTACATTTTAAAATTATTGCAGATGTAAATGAGAAGTTTACACAATATGACAGATAAGAATCATGAAGGCAACAAGACTATATATACTAAATGACCTATCTAAATAAATGTTCTATATGTTATTAACAAATGAGTTATTAGATTCTATTGAAAAGTACATCATAGTATTTTCATAACCCTTGAACCCAAGGATAGATAAGAGAAAGCATTACAAAATATGTCCTATAATGATAACATTTAATTTCAACATGGTATATAATGATTACAAAATTCTCATAAAGCTATAATTTTTTTTGTTTATACACAAGTACGTAGAAAAGCTATTTGTTATTGGAAAATTAATTTAATAGAGAAGTTGATCTGATGGAGAAGCATAAAGTAACTAAAGAAATAAAGTGTATACAAGAAGAGGACAAATCAGGTATGCAGAAAAGAGCAATAAAAATAAAAGTAGAATTTATTCTAATCCGTTCATATTTATTTCGACAAGAAAGGAGAGAGAAAAGAAAAAGAAATAATAAAAATGTCAATCATTAGTATAATCTCATCGGGCTCATTATCTGCTATTAAATCGAAAAATACGATACGATATGAAACATAAAACGGGATCGATCGTAAACTAGCTACTATTTTCGCTGACTCAGCAAGAACATAATTCGGTTACTTCGACTTTACATAACACAACAGAGTGCCCACATTAAATATCGTAGGCGTTGGAAGACGAGAGATATGTATTTTTTAATATAACTATATCACGAAGGAGATACGATTTTAATTCGAGGATCATTCTTCTCGCATATATTCCGAGTTCGCGATTATCTGGTTGTTCGCTTAAAACCACGAAATTGATATTTAGAGTTAGCGACAAAGTCTAACGTTCATCTGGATTAAAACGTGTCCTCATATAATATAATGACTGACAAGAGTTTAATCGTGCATTCATTGAATACAACAGGTGATTTCGCGCTTTATTCATAACACAACTCGTCCAAATAAGTAAAAGTAGTCGAAAAGTTGAAGTAGAAGTAGAACTTTTGGAGTACATCCTCTTTTTTATTCGGTTCTCCCTCTTTCTTTCCTCTATCTATTTATCTCTATCTCCTTCTGTCATACCGTGCACATGATACGTGTGAGATAAAGAGAAAACTATGAAAGATAAAGGAAAAGACGCAAAAGCCGCATATATCATAACTGCAAAGCGCTTCTTCTCCTAAGCGCATTCATTGATTCGAGATCGAACCCTGTGTATGCGTTTAAGCTCTGTATGCGTTGTTCCAAGAGGTGATGATGTTCCTCCTCCACTCACCTCCTCGCTCTTTATAACCTCTTTGAATTCCCGTTTGATTCGCTGCGCCGCGATGTTCGCCATAGTTTCCGAATCTTTAACGCGCGACGTCGTCGTTGTCGTCAGCACGCTCCTCTCATCGTCTTTTCGAGTCTCGCGTCTTAACGAATGGAATCGAGGAAGAACTGCTGCTCTCCAGCGTCAGCCGGTAACGCGCTCTCCACGATTATGTTCTTCGTCCTCTCCGTCAACTCTTTCTCTCTCTCTCTCTCTCTCTCTCTCTCTCTCTTTCTTTCTTACTTTCTTTCTCTCTCTCTCTTTCTTTCTTTATTTCTCTCTCTCTCTCTCACTCTCTCTCTCTCTTTCTTTCTCTCGGGGGCGCACTTCTCTTTCTTCACGATATGTCGTGTGTCGTCGTTAGAAAAAAACCTCGTATTTTCCACGCGACCCAGCTGAGAAATATTAGGGACGAGGAAATCTTTAAATAACTTCTTTTCTTAATATGATTTTTCTATTCTTTTATTATTAAATAAATCTCCGCTCGTGCGGACGCATCTACCAACTTGTCGTTGTACCGATTGCCGCTCTGTCGGCGCCACATCGATGATGAATAAAAAGCTGACTGTCAATTGTTCTCTCGTACTCTTTCTCTCTCTCTCTCTCTTTCTCTCTACCTATCTATCTTTACCCTTTCTTCTTCTGCTTCTCTCTTTAATGCGCACTCTCATCAGTTTGTCTAAAATCACGGCGCCATGTTGCGTTCGCGCCATCGCACACATCAAATTGCCGCCAAATTGTGAATTCGCCAGAAACATCTCGTCCTATACGTTCATTCGCTTATTATCGTTCAAGGACGTTTTAACTGTATAAAAAAAAAAAACAAAAAACTTTCGATCAAGATTATTGCCTTCTTTTATCCTCGAGAACACGTGTCTTTTTTTCTCCCTCTCTCTTTCGCTTAATATATTTGCTATTGCATACCACTTTTTCTTTCTCTCTCTCTCTCTCTCTCTCCTACTTTTTTAACTACGTTGATTATCAAAAAATCGTATAAAAAAAATAAAGTAGTATTACTATTATCTGCTCACTTATCTTTTTCCATTCCTATTAGTATTTCTAAGAGATGTAACGTATTAAATTATTATTATTATTATACTTTTCTTTTATTTTTTTGCATATCCCAAGGTCAATGAATGAACAACGTTTTACGCGCCAAATTTGTCGCCTTTTTTTAAAAGAATGTATTGTATACTGTGTATGCGATATATGCAGCATCGTAAAGGAACGAGCAAGCATGCTTTGCAACAAAATGGTGACATGGGGGGTATACGCCGCGTGATGTTAGAAAACTGAAATCTAACGCATGTTTTTCCTTTTTTGTTTGTTGTCTTCTTCATTTTCTTAATTAAGCAATGAAAGACGTATGGGACTATGTCGTAAAAGATCTAATGACGATAAGAAAATGAAAAAGAATAATAATATTTAACGCAGTAACAATATCCGATTGAAAGTGGGCGGAGCTAAGGCTCGTTACGTTACTTCCGGTGGCGCAGAGAAGGGATGTATACCATTGGATGGGGGTTTTCGGTACTTTCTGTTTTTCAGTTATGCCTGTGTCGCAGCCAGTGCGTGCTAAGAGTTTGTTACGGGCAAACTTGGAAAATTCTCGCGCTAGGTTATTACAAACCAGGATGCCGAATATAAAAGTATTCAGTGGTACATCTCATCCTGAGCTTGCTCAACGAATTGTTGATAGGCTTGGGATTGACATTGGAAAAGTTGTCACGAAGAAGTTCAGCAACCTCGAGACATGGTAATGATCGTTATTTCCAATATCTTAACCACGTTTATTCTTATCCCTTTAATGGGTTAATATTGAAGTATAGACCACGTGTCACCGTGTAATTTATAAATATTATTTTTAGTTGAATCTATTCCTCTACAAAGCATACCGCAAACCATTTATTTTTATGTTAACGTTTTATCATTTCTATGTTTTTAATGTCACCTCACCGATAAACACATGCACTCACAGAAGAACCGGTGTGCTTGCTTGTTTGCGTTTTATCTCATGCGCAATTCTATCGATGTAATGTTTCGATTATTATTATGTTAATCGAAACAAAAGTTTTTTCTTTCTCTAATGTTTCTATTTTATTTTTTATACGCAGTATAAATTTTCCGATATAGTATAGATCTGTCCTCAACGCGTGTAATGTCTATAGAGCTTCCTTCTCATGATTAGATATGTTTAGTCGAGCACAAGATTATATGTATCTTATTAACAGTAATCGTGAAATTTAATATGATCGCTGATAAATACATATTATTTATATATCACGTAATTTATTATAATATATTTTCATATTCCACTAGTATTTAATTTTAGAAATTAAAAGAAAAAGAAGAGAAAAACAAAAATCTAATTATTAAAATATTAATTTTATTTCATATTCTAAATAGCGTGGAAATAGGAGAATCCGTCAGAGGAGAAGACGTGTACATTGTTCAAAGTGGAAGCGGAGAAGTTAATGATAATTTGATGGAACTTTTGATTATGATCAATGCTTGCAAAATAGCATCTGCATCCAGAGTTACAGCGGTAATCCCGTGTTTCCCATACGCAAGGCAGGATAAAAAAGACAAGGTAGGATGAGAACCAATTAATTTTTTATTAATATTACTTTTTTTTTTAATGTTATTTTTTAAGTTTTTGCGAGACTTATTTTATTTTATCCTTCTCCAATTTTGTATTATTGAGCTATTTACGAGAATAAAAAAATGATTCTTTTTTAATATCAATGTCACAACCCATTTTTATACAGTTGATTTTAAAACCTTGTATCAAAGACTGGTGAGTTATAAGATTTGTGCAAATGTTTCGTATTTTTTAGTTTTCTTCATTTATAGGACATGTGTAGTATTAACATTTATGGTCTTTAATTAATATTAACTATGTATTAAATATTATATATGATATGATTAGTAAAGTTGCAAAGTTGATGTGTTTTTTTAATTGTAATAAGTAACACACATAAAAATAGAAAGAACATATAATAATCATATTTAATAGTTTCAAATATCCTAATAATTTATGCCATAGATTAATATAATTGTATTTATATGAATGAAATGAATATTAATTTCTTAAGAGAGTAGTACCGCTTATATCATCTATATCTTGGGATAGTAATAAATCCTGTTTGCATAAGTTAACTTTATATAATGATATCCTTGAAATTTTATTTTAATACTATTCGATAACACTTTCATTCGTGATCTACTTTGTCGGACACACAAAAGCGTCTATTATCTCAAGAAAAGAGAAAATTATCTTTCTGCTTACAGCTTTTGATACATGTTTTTTACAGTTTAAATTCTGTTGTCGGTGTTAAATGTGCCATTAAAATGTAAAATTAATTGAAAAGAAAGAAAAAACTTCAACTGGAAGGAAACTTCTCTTAAAAGCAGAAGTAAAAATTGTTTTTGTCTGTGATATCTTCACAGGGAGGCGATGGTGGTGACAAGTCGAATTCCAATAAGAGTCTTATTGTCATGAAGTCAAACGAGTGGAAATTCAGGGTAACTTCTAGCGGATATTATTTTTTATTCTTCTCAGTTAAATATTTAACTTTGCAACAACATCAACAACAAACAAATGGAGTATCATGTTACGGATGCAAGTTTTGGCAATTTCATATCCATGAAAAAATATGCTTATGCCTTTTTTTTTGCTTTTAATATCATTGGCCTGCATTAGATGGTATCTTTATTATTTATTACAGGATCCTTTCATCATTTATGAACACTTATGGTATCAATTTAGGAAATTTTTAGATAAGTTAATAGCATAGTCTTGCAAAAGTAACTATTTATGTACTATGGCTCCAAAAATATTTATATAACTAATCAGGAATTTTTAATACTTTGTTAAATATTATTTATTGAATATACAACCTTAGACAACCATGGAATAATACTTGAAGCTATTTTATAAAAGACAAAGTTCATGCAATCAAAAGAAAATATTATACAAGTATTTCAATAATAAGAGGCTTATCTAGGGTTGTTTTTGTAACAAAAATGCATGTTTTAATCAATATCAAGTAATTGGAGCATTACCAAAAAAAGAGAGATCTCTTAATGTTAATGCAATTAATCTTTTCATATCTTACAATTCAACTATTTCATTTATATACAATATAATCATGATTATTAAAAACATTATAATTCAAAAATTTCAAATTACATTAGAATTTGTGATCATTTTAATAGCTGCACTTATTCTTGAATTTATGACAGAAAAAGCTTAAAGGGAAATAAATTATTTCTTTAGTTGAATCAATCATTGTAAGCACGTTCTATAAAATTCTAATTCACATAATATTTTTCCTGTAACTGTTATTTTTTTTTTATTTATTTATCTATTTATTTTTTTATTTATTCGTGTTATTGACTTAATGACGTATGTTGATGAAAAATGATTTGGTATATTACAAATAGCACTTTGGTGCAGAAATCATCATCGTTGCATTGCAAATGCATTACACATCATTTATCAACAATCAAAATTCTAAAGGTTATCAAATGTAAGATAACTTCTTGTATATATGTGTTTGAAAACAACTGATAAGTTTCATCGAGGGGGTCCTTATACCTACGTACATTACATGAGAGATATAATATCGGTATTTTCTAGATTATAGTATAAATAGACGCATTTCGTAGTATTTATATAAGGCATTTACATATTTGCATAAGTTTTTTTAGGAACGTTTAAAAAAAAAAAACAAATATTTTAAAAACTGATATTTATGTTAATATCGGTAAAATTAAAAAAGATATACAAAGGCTGCTTTATGTTTCTGAATAGTTGGGTATTTTCAGGATACTCTTCCCGACCTGTCTACAGTGAGTATTTAAGAGCAACAAGATTGTCGAGTGAAGCGTTTGTAATGATAGCTCAATGAACCATTCAAGTTATAATATTTCTTTTTTAATTTGATATCAGCAAATTTTATTTGTAGGACTAACAAAACTTATATTCGTTGCTATATAGTACAATGGTACCCCCATGAATGAATGACTGATAGAATTAACGAATGAGTAAATTGAATGGATGATAAATTGTATTTAAAAAAAAAACAAGAAATTAAAATTAAAAAGAAAACATATTATTACTGACATATGAATGAGAGGGCAAAATATTAATATAATAGCACTATACATACATATATCATTAATAATCCATCTACGGGGTACATTGATGTGTGCTTGTGGGTACTAATAAAAACATAGCTTAAAATGGTGTCATTTTCTTTCATATACTAATACGTAGAGAGAAAGAGAGAGAGAGAGAGAGAGAGAGAGAGAAAGAAAGAAAGAAAGAAAGAAAGAAAGAAAGAAAGAAAGAAAAAGAGTAAAAGGTAAATTAAAGATGCCTTATCTAAACATAATGCTTCAGCGATAAAAAATCAGTTTGTGCTGTCTTGATAATGGATTTTCATATTTAAGATAATTAAGGTTTGAAATAGTGAAAGTATATCTTAACACATAATTGCTTTTATGAAATTTCTATTATATCTAATATAAGAGAAAATAAAAAACATGTATTGATTTATTCCATATTTTAAGATTGTGCACACAATGCATTTCAGTGTATAACAAACAACATGCTATAAGAAACATATGCATAATGATATGCTTCATGTTTATCAAGATGTTATTCGAAAGAAATTCTTTAAAATAATATGTTAATGTATTTTTAAAAAAGCATATACATCGCGATATGTTTGTTGTGTGAGATACTATAAAAGATCGACATGTTTCCTATCTATGATTAACTACTATCTATTTTTAATCTGATTAAATGTTTGCCCTCTTGTTCAATACTTATTATCTTTTGCTACACAAAGGCAAAGGAGAGTTGAGATGCATTGTGTTGTTATGATTTCCTAACTTTTTTCAATACTTTGCTTTAATTATAGTTTCTGTTGAGTCTAACTGGGGTGCATTTGCAACACATCTTTGACCTTTTTTATATATAATGTTTATTCCTGTCTATATTTTTGTATCAGTATTCAAAGTATTTAGCATTTGGCCATTGTATTTATATTTTGTCCCCTCTACAAAAAAATTTTAAAAAAGAAATTAATGATGTTTTTATATTTGTATATATATTTAAATATAGGAGAGATCATATGAGAATATAACATCATTTAACCGCTGAACAATCAAAATTTTTTAAATAAAAGAATGTATTATATATTCTTTCTCAGTTTTACTGATACAGCAAAGGTGTAATTGTTTTTTAACAGGCAGGCTGCTTAAATAATTCTAACGGTATCTATTTTTTTTTTATTACAGGAGATATCCGGTTGCAAATGGACTTGAGGGACTCATTAATATACTTGTATTATTAATGATCTAATTATATTTTACAGAGTCGTGCACCAATCTCAGCTAAATTAGTAGCGAATATGCTGTCAGTGGCAGGGGCTGATCATATAATAACCATGGATCTGCATGCTAGTCAAATACAAGGCTTCTTTGATATTCCGGTCGACAACTTATTCGCCGAACCAGCCGTTTTAAAATGGATTAAAGAAAATATCGTCGAATGGAGGAATAGTATTATAGTTTCTCCAGACGCTGGTGGTGCCAAAAGGTAGGAAATAAAGAAAAACGTGAAAGATGAAATATTAGATAGAATTGTAAGAGTAATCGAAAATAATTTAATGTTTTTCAGGGTAACGTCAATTGCTGATCGACTTAATATCGAATTCGCGCTTATTCATAAAGAAAGGAAAAAGGCGAATGAAGTAGCAAGTATGGTACTAGTAGGTGACGTTAAGGATAGGGTAGCAATATTGGTCGATGATATGGCTGATACATGTGGCACAATATGCCATGCTGCGGAAAAACTTTTAGAGGCTGGCGCAACACAAGTTTATGCCATTCTTACACATGGAATTTTCAGTGGACCAGCTATTAGTAGAATCAATAACGCATGTTTCGAGGCGGTCGTAGTAACTAATACCATTCCTCAAGATGAACACATGAAAGATTGTCCAAAAATACAGGTAATAAGAGTAACTAAATTTGTATTGTCAATCATGTATTAAATGATTGAATTAACTTTCAGTGTATCGATGTCTCAATGATGTTTGCCGAAGCTGTCAGAAGGACCCACAATGGGGAATCTGTATCGTACCTATTCTCTAATGTGCCATACTAGGTGTAAAATTAATTATAGTATACTCTTCTAATAATGAATGAAGAAAAAGAATGTAGTCTTTTTACATTTGTTTATTATTATTCCTAGTTTAGTCAAAAGCTATTACCTTCATCAGTTAATGAGGGGGAATAATATTTTTAAATTCATCAGATCTTTTCTTCCTTTATTTTTTTTTTTTTTTTTTTATTTCTTTTTGGTGACGATTGTTGATGGAAATTATAGTAATGTATATCTGCCATTATGTTAGAGTTTTCAAAATAGTATGTTTGTCGCTATTAGATTGATAAGTAGATTTTTCGTGAGTTAAAATTATTTTATTATATGTATGCTAAGAAATAAGAAAATCTAAGGAAATCATTCTAATTATAATGTCTGCTGATTTGAATAATCTGTAAACATATAATTTCATTCTATGAATTTTAATTTATATAGTAGCATTTATAAATGCCTTCGAGTGAGATCAACATAATATTGATAAATAATTTAAAAAAATAGTTCATGTATTTAGAATACATAAAAAGAAAATTTAATAGTTTCTATAATTTAAATACGTGCTCTATAAGAAAATTGACAATGCATAAATTTACATGAAACAACAATTGAGCATAATATAATTATTATCGAAAATATTTTACCATTGAAGATGGTAAATGCAAGATCTGCAATATATCAATTACTCATATAAATTAATATCAATCTTACACCCAGTAAGTTATAACAAAAGAAAAAAGAAATATATAAATAATATGAAAATTGCGGTAATTAAAATTTTTTTATATATATTATATCAATATATTTACCTCACATATAGTATCTTAATACTATAATAAGAATTTAGTAAATAAAGAAAGTTAATTATTTGTATTGACCTATAATTTTTTTCTTACTGCGAATAATATTAATTATGAGTTTGATAAAAATATCTGCAATTTATCTTGGACCAATAAATGAAAAATAATTAAATACAATCAATATGTACTCCAATTTACGTTTAAAAAAAATGTTTTTTTGTTCTTAAAAATAATCTTTATTGTTAAACTGGGTATTATGAAAAAAACAAATAAATAAAAAAAAAAATAAAACCAAAGCAATATTACATCGTAGCTTATTGATATCCAAGGAATCATCAATTTAGCATAAAAAAAGGTCAATTAATAGAGATTATAAATTCGTGAAAATGATAAATATATTAAACGATCGTTCCAGTATTATTTGCTTTGCACTGTAATGCTATCTATAGTAATATAATAACTATAATTCTATTTATTCCATTATATATCGGCTGCCCTAATTTTTTGATTAAAAAAACGTAACGCGACATAATAATTTAATTAGGGTTTTAGATATGTATTATTATACGATAAAAAAAATAGAAACAATTTTAAACGCAAATTAATCCTTTTTTAAAACATAACATTAGAAATTTAAATAATTTATCATGTAATGATATTAGATATATATATATATATATCAATATAGAATAAAAAAAATATTAAATTCTAAAACAAAACAATCATACAAATTGGTCACTTTTTATATTAAAGTATATTGATTGCTAATTTATTACTTCGTAAATCCGGGTGGTAATGTTATGTCAAATACTATCGGAGGATTACTTGGTAAATAATTAATATCACATGTGGATGCATTTACATAAATGATTTTTCCATCAGAAGAGATACCGTATCCTATAAGAAACATTAAAAAGTAATTTTCCTCTTTTATTATTACTCATAGATGTCTAACATATTATTATAAAGAATTAATTATACGATATTGAATTTACCTTCATGAATATGACCAAACACATGATATTTTGGTTTTACACGATTCTGTACCGTAGAAAGCAATTCTACACACCCTGCCCGTACCCCACTGCAGCAGTAATCTCCATGACCTAAGGGTGGTGTATGCGTTACAAGTATGTCTGTATTGGCTGGTATCATATCCCATTTAGAAAGACATGGTTCTCCACGTGGCACATTGAAAGCCCATTTACAAAACTCTGGCTGCCTAAAGTTTTAAGGAAACGTTCCTCAAAAGAAAAAGACACTTAAGCCTGAAATAATTTGCTACAGGGACGAGTATTAATTCTTTTTTTTTCTCATTTATATGCCTGTACAATTACTCACCATGGTGTACCATATATTTTAATTCCATATATTGTGATTTCAGAATCTTCTAAATATATGCAATTAGTTAAATAATTTTTAGTATTGGTTGTTTGAATGGCTTCTACAAGAAGATCTTTGGCCATTCCTAATGTAGGTATACTGTCGATAATACTAGTCCCTGTATGTTTTTGACGGTTCCCAGAAGTTTGCATACTAAAAGGATGTGTGAATGTCGGATCAAAACTAAGCTCATGATTTCCAGCTATAACTATTTTATACTTATGCGGTAAATTTCCTATAAAGTAAACAATGATATTAGTTTGATTATTAATCGAGGTTGAAATTAAACATATGTATCTCTGACATGGTGGATACTAACCGATCCATTTATTAAAGTCAATAACTTCTTGTAAACTACCACACTTCGTAAAATCTCCAGCATGAATAAAGATATCACCATTGGGTATATCAAATTTTATAAACTGTGTAAGAGAATGCGTATCGCTCATACAAACTACACGCAGCTAGTAGACAAAATTTTGACATTATATGATATTATAAATTAAAAAGAAATATAATATACTATAAATTTACCTTATCATTTGGTGCATCAATCGTAGGAGTTCTAACATTTATTTTAAATATTGGTTGATCCTTTGATATCTCCTTCCAAGCTTCATCAGGATCATGTGATAACGAATGTACTCCTATTTTCATACTGAATTACTATGTATTATAAACGCTAAACGTTTCTTTCCTAATATCGTTTGTTTGAAGATTAATAAAATATTAACATATTTTTCTGTTTATTTTACATTCGAATAAGCACAATGCGGCTGGTTTAACACTATAACGACTTTAACTGTCATTATAAATGAAAGAATGAAAAATGACGTTTGAAAGATTTCAAGTAAATTATATATGTATATTAGTCTTTAGTTTTAAAATGATATATAATCCAAATATAAAATTTAAATAATATACGTACGTAATTTATATATATATACACATATATATTATTATTATTTTTTAATAGAACACACTCACATAATATCGATTAAGGAAATCAAACTATCAAACGACAGAATCAACCAATCACATCAAAGTAACACAGGTGACGCCACTTGTCAACTTATGTCGGTAATGTAAAAGAGCCTATGTCGAGAAAAGTTTGTATCAGTGTGTTTACAAGTTATAAATAATTATATTTGAATGCATTTAAACTTATTTTATACACTAATATCGAATTAAGATTATTAACTATAAAATAATGTGTAAGTTTTTTCTTTTTCCTTTTTTTATCTCATTTCAAAAATATGTTTTTATTGTTTAATAATAACTGTGATCAAAAATGTTAATCTATCATTCATAATTCTTTAAATATATAAATTAATGTATATTTTTTTGTTATTTCTAGCTCTCAATATTAATAATTGGACACCCGAATATTTTGTTAACAATCAAACATCTTGTAAACTCATATTATCAAATTGCAATGTGTTAAAAGAAATTCCTTTGTTGAACAATGCACCCTTACATTGTTTTAAGGATAAACAACTTGTTAGGTTTCGTGGCATGATACAAGATATGTATAATCCTGAATACTATTTTCAAAAATATGAGGTCAAAAATACACAGAGTGGATATTGCGACGTTAGATTTGGAATGTATATGGATTCAGTTTTATCATCGGTAATAATCAATATATATATATCTATTTATTTATTTTCATATATGAGGTCTTACATCATTTTTAAATCTACTTTTATATCTAAGTCGATCATTTAGACTCTGGATATGATGTAAGACCAAGAGAAAAAAAATGGTCGTTACAGGTGTGAGATGCTTAAAGATTAGTTAATCTCATGTATAATACGACCTACAATTATTTTTTATTTAATCCTTTATACTATGATTTAATGCACAAAGCTACATAGCATATTCATAAGTAAGACTCATGTTTTTCTTACTTAGGCCATAAAGTGTGTCATGAGTCTGAATACGTTGTTATAATACAATTCATTTGCACTTCTTTTTACTTTTCAAATATAAAATATTTTATAGTGAGTCACTAATTTTTTCTTAGCCAAATGAAGAAATAATTTTTAATTCGGAAAAGAATATCAGTTCTGAAAGGCAAACATGCGTTGTTATTTCTACACCGGGTTTAAATGATTGGGCAAAAGAAGAAAATACTAATACCAATAATTTAAATAGAAATATAATTAACTATTATAATATGAATAAAAGAAGTTTGGAGAATAATGAAGTTGAAGAAATGGATTGTTCTGAACCAACTAGGAAAAAAGAAAAATTATTGACAGACGAAACTAATGAAACGTATAATAACGCTAAAAATAACAAGGATAATAATGGTATTTTATCCAAGGAACATATTTTAAATTTTCCTGTACCAATTGACGATGGTAAAGCTTGTATCGTGAAGGTTAATTAATTATTTTGAATATTCCTGTTATTTTTAACTCTTTGACTCAGAAACAAAATGTGACAATAACGCTTCATTTATTATAGACAAACATTTCGCATTAGGTGCTATAGGTGCTGTTTGCACAGAGACAGCAATTTTTTTCATGCACCTATAGTTACTGTTCGCAGTTAAAGAGTTAAAAGAAAATAATATATTACAATTCTGTTTATATAAATTATGATTTATGTTTTTTGAAATAATTATTGTATTTATTGTTATTTATATATATTTTTAGATCTACGATGAAACAACACATTTAAAGTTAAATCAAATTGTAGATATAATTGGATTTATATCGCTTGATCCAACGTTAAGTGTTATTAATAATTCAGAAGAAATGGATGATGTTGAAATGAACACTCACAATCCTCCAGTTTCTCTTGTACCAAGACTCCACGTGGTAAAAATAACTGTGCTGATAAAACATGAAGTAGAAAATGCACCATTAATTATATCAAGAGCGCAGGCAATTAGAGGAGATCTACATTTAATTTTAAGTCAGTTGTTATTTGGTGATCAATTGGCTGCTGATTATCTCATTTGTCATTTATTATCTTCTATGTATGTGTAATGTTAGTATTAAATGTTCACAATCGTATACAGATTTTACATTATCTTTTTTATAGATATATGAGGAAGAATTATTTTTGTCTTGGTACTTATCCCTTAAACATTACTAATTTTTCTATTGCCAAGTTTAAAGACTTTCCTAAAAATCTTTACAACTTTTTAAAATTATTTATAAGAAAAAGTCA